CCCGATGGCTCACGTCGGCCCCACGAGCGCCCGACTGTCGCGCAGCCGCAGCGAAGACGCGGAGCGGATAACGAGGAGGGGGGGTTGTTGGCCGGCCCCGCAGCCCCTCGGCCCTCGGGGCCCCCCGCCCCTCCCCCGGCAGGAGGCCGCGCTGGGTGACGCGCAGCTCGGCCCGTGGGTCTTCTCTCCATCCCCGCAGCGGGAACCGAGCCCGGCCCCCCGGCTCCTCCATCCCCTATCAGTACCGGGCAGCTGCGGTCCCCCCAGCCGCGGCCCCCAGCCCATCCCAGCCCCCGTCCCGGGGTGCAGCTGAACGGGGTGGGAGCGGCTGCGGGGCCGGGCGGTGCGCAGCTCCCAGCCCCCCGGGCACGGTGCTTCCCAGCGCCGCACACAGGGGCTCAGCCCGGGGACAGCGGGGGCTGTGGGACCCCGCATTGGGCACGGAGCTCCGCACTGCAGCCACGCTTGTGCCCCGATTCCCGGCACGGGGCCACGCTCACACCCGCGTGCACCCACACACGGGGTGTGCACCCCGATGGCCTCCGGGCAGCTGTTGTGTCACGCTGTTGTGCCATGCAGTGCTGTGCCATGCAGTGCCGTGCCATGCAGTGCCGTGCCACTGGCCAGCGGACCCGTCAGCCTCAGCCCTGTCTTCCCTTCTCCCCACGCACTCTCATCTCTTTCCTCTTCCAATTTTCTGCATGATTAACTCCACCGCTGTTTCCTGACAACCTCTGCTGTTGGTATTAATTTCTTTTAACTAGTGATTAATTACTCGCTGTCTCCCGCGCTCCTTCTCCCCGCCGCCCATTTGCATATTAATCCAACCCCCCCTTAACGCGCTGCCCCGCGGTTCCCTCACCTACAAACGGCCCCTCACACTTTGCTCCGGAGCACCCGCCGCCCCCACTCCCACGTTAGGGGACCCCCACTGCTGGGTGTCCCGGGGGGCACCGGGCCCCCCAAGATGCCGTCCGTCCAGCCCCGGGGTTTCCCATCACAGGAAGGGCTCCAGGCCGAGGGAAAGAGCCACACAAGGCTCTGTCGGCTCTCGCTTTTATTAAGAAACCCACGGCAGGTTCCCATCCCTGCAGGAAGGGCTGCGCCCGTGGGTACCGAGCCGCCCGGCACCGGCCTGTGGCACCGGGGCAGCGCAGCCGGGCTGCAGCCACGAGGCACGGCCACACCGGGGACACGAGGTAGGAGCGGCGGGGCGGCGGGATGAGAGCAGGCCGGCCGCTGCGGGGAGAAGGCACACGAGGCTGCGGCAGGAGCGCGGCTCCAAAGCCCGGCGTGCGGCCCCGAGCTCCGCAGCGCCGCCGGCTGCTTTGTGGGTCCGGCAGCGCGCGGGGCGGCGCCCACCGGGCGTCTCGCTCTGCACCCTGCGAGATGAGGAAGGTTCCCCCACGGAGGGTCCTACGGGCGCTGCCGAGGCGGCGGCGTGGCGTGGGACGGGTGTTTGAGCTGCAGCGCCAGCCGGCAGCCCTCCAGCTCGGCGCCCTGCAGGGGGGGACAGCCGTCAGCGCCGTGCGCCCGTCCCGCAGCACGGGGAGCGGCAGCCCCCGGCCCGGCGCTCACCAGCATGGCTCCGTACGCCGCTTCCGCCGCTGCCTTCTGGTGGAAGTTGATGAAGGCGCAGCGCTTCTCCGGGAGCAGCCGGATGGATTGGATCTGCCCGAACCTGCGTGGTGGGGCAGCTCAGCCAGCCGCCCCCGGCCACCCCCCGCTGCAGGGAAGGGGAAACGGAGCAGAAGGCGGCCGGGTTGCACCGCGATGGAGGGGGGGTCGCTCCCCGGGAGCGCAGAGAACCGGAACCCGGCGCAGAGACCGGGCGGCGTGGGGGGGTGCGGCGCCATCAGGTCCTACAGGGACGGGGAGGACGGGCGCTGCAGGGCACTCACCGGCCGAAGCAGCTCTGCAGCGCTTTCTTGGTGACTTTGAAAGTGATGTTTCCGACCCACAGAGGATAGCAGTCCCTGCCAAACGGCACTGTCACCAGCAGCCCAACCCCTGCCCCGCTCCCGCCGATCCCCGAGGGCGGCCCCCCAGCAGCCCCTTGTCCTGTGCCAGAATCCCAGCCTTACCTGGCAGGGTGCTGGGAAGGCAGTGTGTGCCTGGGGCTCGCCGTGGCCGTGTTCCGCACGTGGCTTTTCGAGTGGCTCCTCGAGTTCACCACGGTCACGAAGCCGCTCGCGTCCACATCGCTGCTGCCGCCGTTCTCACACTCATCTGCTGAGAAGCTCTCAGGGCTCAGCGCCACCCCTCGCACCCTCCCAGCTCTGCCACGTTCACCCCAACCCCGGGAGCACAACGAAGGTCCCTTACCGGAGCTGGGTGTCAGCGGCTCCCCAGCTTCCAGCGCGGGGATTTCCCTGGGGCTGCCGGCATCGCGGAGGCTGCTCTGCTGCAGGGCAGAGGGGTCAGAGCGCACAGGGCAGCCGTGGGGAGGCAGCGGCGGGGCCGGAGCTCACCTGCAGCAGCATCTGGCAGGCCTCCAGCCGGGTGGCTACGTCACCGTGGGCGCCCTTGAGGAGCAGCAGCTGCTTAAAGGTGTCCCTGGCCTCGGCGTAGAGCTGGGAGCAGAGAGCGGCTGAGCCGCTGCCCGTGGAGACGCCGAGCCCTGCAGCCCTGCCTCCACGCTACCTTCAGCCCCCACAGCGCCTTGCCCTTGCGGAAGAAGCCTTTGGGCCAGCTGGGCTGCAGCTCCAGGGCCATCTGGGCATCTCTCAGCGCCTCCTGGTATTGCCGGAGCTTCTCGTAGCAATACGACCGGTTCCCAAA